GCTACAACACTACATATAAGGGGGGGAAACTGACCAATAAGTGGTTTTATAACTCTTTATTTCATGGTGATAAGTACAAGGGAAAGGGCCACAGACAGTGGTATCAAGGCTACAGGAATCTTTTCCTGAACGCCATCATACTGAGTCAGTAACTTTTTCTGAAATCCCACTATTCCTTTACAGTAAGTTGTTAGTCACTGGCATAGGTCTTGGAGGATTGTTCATCATAAATAATACATTCCTGAGGCAGAGATGTAGTTTCTGTTCCTAGCAGACAAGGGACAAGCCAGAGTGGCGTGGATTTTGGTTTTTCAAATCTCAACTGACATACGGTGCTTTGTAGGTAGTGGTGGTTTGCGTGTTTGTTGTTTGAGGGGAGGGTTTTTTCCCCAAGAATGAGGTTCCATTTTATATGAACCACCAAAAGCTGTAGGTGGAGAAGGAAAAGTTACAGTTTTTAATCACGTCTTTAATTTCTTGGGCTGTTGCTGGCAATTTAAGATATATACCCATTTATTCTATAGAACTGGCCTCCTAACTTCTTGCCTGCAAGCACAATATCATAGCTGAAGTAAGTCTCAGATGAAAATGGAAGAGTGAATGATTATTATTAATTTGATCCAAATGGTATCATCTGTCCAGAGCAAACAATAAACATGTTCAGAGCAAATACAAAAATTCCAGGCCAATTGCAGATACCCCTTAATAAATAAACATATTAGGAAAAACTCTTTCTGACCATTGGTAATGCTTCAAGTTTTTTAACATGCCCTAAGTACTTTCTTTCCAGGAAGCACATTACAAAGTTTAAAAGTATCATGTAGGGCCACACCCCTCCTGATGTTGCACTTACGAAAGGTAGAAGCTCTTTTCAAGCAAACATGCCCAGAACTGCACAGCATAAGCCCAGCATGACACTACCCTAGCACAACTCATCTGCTTCATATATCAGTGGATTCTGCAGGGGCTGTTTGTGGTTCTCACACACCACACACCATCTATGCTTTCTTCCACTGTTTCCTGCCTGCTAAGATGAAAAGGTACCATTCTTCTTACTCCTCCTCCCTTGCTTAGCCTTGGATACTTGGAAGGACTGTAGCCACTCCAATAAAGTCACATTACCCACTGCTTCACATCTAGCACACATCAACTCTAGACATTCCCCCACCTCCAAGAGCTGATGCAATGATAGTATTGGAACAGTAAGCTTTTGTGCAAGAAAGGAATTTTATATGTGGTAGAATCTTTGGTAAATGGTACTGTCGCGGCTCAGTCCCCCAACTTGACACTATGCATGCAGAGATGGGGGGGGCCGGCTAACCAAAAAACTCTGCAAAGCCTGTCTCTATGATTCCCAGAGACAAACTTATTCAATCTCAGTCCTTCTGAGATTTAAAACAAAAAAACAAAACAAAAACCCACCCAAGACTGGTTCCTCGCTGCTACCACCCAAATGATCCCAAGAAAAGATAAAAATAAACTCTTTTCCAGAGAAGAGGTCACTTGGGAAATCCCCTCTCTAAGGTAAAGCTCTCCCCACTGCCCCAAACTGTTTAGCTTGGATTGGGAAAACAGAGGGAATCCAGAGACAACGATGAACTTTGCCCTTGTAACTAGGCACGTTGGGTATGTCTAGACTACATGGCTCTGTCGACGGAGCCATGTAGATGAGGTTTCTAGACATAGGGAAATGAAGCGGCGATTTAAATAATCGCCGCTTCATTTACATCAAAATGGCTGCCGCACTGTGTATTTTCATTTACATCAAAATAGGTTTACTGGGCTGGTGGACAAGGGCTTCCCTTGTCAACCACGGAGCGTCCAGACTACTGTGCTGTGCCGCCAAACAGCTGATCGGCACAGCGCAGCAGCCATTTTGATGTAAATGAAGCAGCGATTATTTAAATCGCCACTTCATTTCCCTTTTTCAAGTAAACTAATCTACATGGCTCCGTCAACGGAGCCATGTAGTTTAGACGTACCCTTAGTCTTAAGGAAACAACAATCAACCAATACTGGTTAATTAGCATAAAAGGAAAACTCTTTTATTATCAAAACAAAACTACTGTTCTTCTTAGAGTGATGTCCCCTTGGGTGCTCCACTGTTGGTGTTGGGCTCATCCTGGCACCACAGATCGGAGAGTTTCAAGTAGTCATGAGGCAGACTGCGCATGTGCGAGTGGAGAGAGGCATTTCCGCCTTTGAAGTAGCATGCGCAGCTCACTTTTTCCTCAGTTCCTTCTTTGCTGCCCTCGGCTATGGACAGAGCTTAACCCTCTCCTCCTCAGCGTGCACACAGGCGTTTCCTATGATTCGTGGTAGCTTCACATCACTTCCAGTACAGAGTCCTCCCATTCGGACTCTTCTATGCCCTCAGAGTCTTTTCCAAGACCTTCACAGCGGCAGCAGCACATCTCAGATACAATGGCTGACTTATCAAAGGCCCCTCACAACACGCCACAAGAGGCATGATCAGGTTTACAAAAAGACCTTTCTTCAATCACTAGGCTTCATTATCAACGAGCAGAAATCCACACTGTGTCCTATGCAATCCCTGGAGTTCATAGGCTCTCGCATAGATTCCATAACAGCATGAGCCTATTCCCAATCACTGTTTCAACAACATAAAAAGCCTTGTCATTATCATGACCACCAGCCCAACCGTACCCATCCTAACTTGCCTCAAGCTTATGGGACACATGGCAGCCACCACGGTCATAGTTCCGCACGCCAGGCGTCACTTCAGTGTTTCCAGCACTGGATTTCTTCAGTGTACATGCCTGCCAGCTGCCACATCCACAGCTACATCTCGCCTCCTCGTCCTCCATGGGTCCTTACCTCCCTCCCAGTGGGGTGAACCCAGGCACAGAACCTATGCAAAGGGGTGCCTTTCCACCGTGAGCAGCCATCCAAACAGATTACTACGGATGCCTCGCCGATGGACTGGGGTGCACACTTCCAACAGCAAATTGTGCAAGAGAAGTGGTCCAAAAAGGAGTCCAAACGCCACATAAACCTGCTCTAGCTTTGAGTAGTTCACAACATGTGCAAGCACTTCCTTCCACACATCCAGGGCTCTTCAGTGCGTATCTCACCAACAACATGACTACTATGTTCTACATCAATTGCCAAGAGGGTGCAAGATCCCAGTCGATATACACAGAGGCAACCAAGCTGTGGAATTGGTGTATCAGCCACAACATAGCCATAATGGCAGCATACTTACCTGGGGACAAGAATATTATGGCATGTACCTTCAGTCACAACTTCCTCAAAGAGCACTAGTGGGAGCTGCACAATCACATCGCCCACAAGCTCTTCCAGTGTTGGGGTGTACCACAGATAGACCTCTTTGTGACCAGAACTCCAAATGCCCCCAGTACTGTTCAAGAGCGGGCATTGGATACTGCTCCCTGGGGCTACATCCACATTGGCCCCTATTCCGTAATAGGGATGCTAATGTAGCACTTGGGAATAGGCAAATCCGCGGGGGATTTAAATATCCCCCGCGGCATTTGCATTTTCATGGCTGCCGCTTTTTTCCAGCTTGTAGATAAGCCGGAGAAAAGCGCCAGTCTGGACGCAATCTTCCGGAAAATAAGCTCTTTTCCAGAGGATCTCTTATTCCCAGTTGAAATCCCACGGGGGATATTTAAATCCCCCGCAGATTTGCCTATTCCCAAGTGCTACATTAGCATCCCTATTACGGAATAGGGGCCAGTGTAGACATAGCCTGGGAGATGCAATGCTCCTTCCTTGGGGGACCCATTTACTATATGCCTTGCCTTCTATCCCCCTCATTCCCAGAGTCCTCCAAAAGAACTAGGAAAACGGGGGTCCAAGTAATTCTAATAGCCCCAGCATGGCCTCGACAGACATGGTTCCCATGTCTTTATCCCATGTCTCTATGATCTCCCTGCCCGCTTCCGAACTGCCTGGACGATCACTGTTTCACAAGTCTCCGATCTGTGATGCTGGGACGAGCTCGACACCAACACTAGAGCACCCACAGGGACACACATCTCAAAGAACAAACGTTACTGCACAAAGTGAGTAACTTCTCTTTGCAAGAATAGTAAATTAGCGAGTTGGTAAATAGCCTCAATTTGATATATATATACTCAGGTAAAGTCCCGGGGCTGTAATCCTTAGTTACAAAAGAGAAAAACAATTAGCCAGCTCAAACATGATTTCCAAACCCCCAAACAAGGAACTGAATCCTGACAGATTATCTAAACTTTTCCCTACTTACACATTTCAAGAAGTCCATTCTTGGAGAGAGAAAGCATCTTCCTCAATACCTGGGCGCAACTGCTCTGCTCTCAAAGAAGAGAAAAAAAACCCTCAGTTTGAAATTCCTACTTGCATTGTTATTGGCTGATTGCCCGAACCCCCCAATCCCAGCCAACACCTTTACTAGGTATCTGAGTTAACCCCTTAGTCACCAGGTGCTGGTTAGCACTTCTTATCATGACAGGTACCCTGACACGTAAGCTTCAAAAGTATTTTATTTGGGGGCAGGGAAAGGCAAACCACAAACACTCTGTGCTTTTTCATCACCCATGCTATATAAGAAGCTCTAAAAGAGCAGAAATGGGCAAGTTCTATCTCAAGGCAAGGGATACGAATGTAGATAAAGCTGCACTGAATGACATGACATGGTTACTCCTATAAATAGGTATTTGGGCAACTGAAATCTCCTACTTCTTTGTCTACAGTTTGTCATAGAACATAAGAATGTAATGTCCATTACAGCCCCTCCAGGAGAACTAGTGGGGAGAAAAGACTATGAAAGCTCCATGTGCAATCTAACAAGTCTTTTTTCAGTAAGGCCTGTTATATTTACAGGGAATCTTCATGAGTGGGCTCAGCCTCCCAATCCACGGAGTGCTTCCATTGGCTGAGCTGGTGATGTAATGGAGCAAAAAGCAGTAAGATTGGTTGAGTTTATAGTCTTGGAGCATTTTCCCTGTTAATTACTTGATTTTCCCCCCTTGTAGTGTTCGCAGGCAGACAACAAATCGGCCCCCACCAGCTGGAGGGAGACCTAAACCACAGCCAAAACCCAAGCCTCAGGTACCACAGTGCCGGGCACTGTATGCATATGATGCTCAGGACACAGATGAACTTAGCTTTAATGCCAATGACATAATTGATATAATCAAAGAAGGTAAGTAAAGAAGTTGGTGGCATAGATTTGTTTCTGTTTTAAATGTCCTTTGTTCACAAATTCCTCCATAGTCTTGAGTACACGCTCATTGTTACTATACGATCTTGCAGCTAACCAACTCTATGAACATTTTCCTGAAGAGACACTCCTGCATTTCTTGACACAATAGAAGGCCTGCTTCTGGCATAGGCAGGATAAAGAGGAATCTTCACACTTACATCTATTAGGCTTGTTCATTTATAAGCAGGGCTGTGTCTGCCCTAGGCTGCTCAGTTGAACATAATGAATTCCCAACTGTAGAGTTCCATATCTTGTGCCCCACCACAGCCTCCAGTTGCACGTATAAGACCATAACAAAAGCTAAAGCACAGCAGCTGAAAAGCAGTTAATAATGCAGTTCCAACTCCAATACTTCCCAAGTGGAAAAGCTTTGCAGTGTGTCAAGAAGGCTAGAAAATCTGGCTCTCATAGCCTTTTGTACATGGTCTCCACAGAGTAGGCTGCTGATTTGTGTGTGGAAGGATTTGCCAGTCTGCACAAAATGCATGTAAAGCAAAGACAGCTAAAATGCAGGGGAACTAAAAATGAAGTAAGGATTCATAAAACCTCATTGCTCACTCTGCTCTTTGTCTATCACAGATCCCTCAGGTTGGTGGACAGGCCGATTACGAGGGAAGCAAGGACTGTTCCCCAACAACTATGTGACCAAGATGTAACAAAATACTAAGAAGGTTTTGTTAAATGAAGAATATGATGCTTTCCCTTCCCTCTCTTTTCTATGAGGTTAAACGGCAATTCTTCTCAGAGGCCTGCAATTCTTAGCAGCATCTTCACCGGTGAAGTTGTATACAAGCAAGAAAGTGTCACTCAGTTTACTGCCCATAAAGCAAATGTGCAGATCTGTGCCTCAGATACACATAGGGAAGTACTGAAAAGGATTTATTTATTATATTTAAACCTGTTTCTAGGGCAGAGTGAATGAAGGGGTGTTTAGTTCTTATAGTTTTCCTGAAACTGCACAGTGCTTTGCAATCTGGGACCAAGGACTTTGGAAAGGTTGTATTTAATAAGCACTGCACATTTCCTCTGATACAGATCACTCCGGGGAATATGTTAAGAATGCTGCTACATGTCACAAAGATTTAGGATTGGTGATGGTATATTTAAATAGTTCTGTACAGATGTGTAATGGAGCTGGTTTATTGTTTGCTAGTAAAATTTAGGGATTCCAAAAGGCACCGCAAAAAAAAAAAGTACTGTATACTATGCAATGATGCCTTCTCCATGATTTTTATTAGAATATGGCTGGGCCATGTTGGATTTATGGTTAATGCTGTACCTTTTACAGGAAGCAA